TCACCTCTGCCACGCTTCCTTGTTTTCATCCGCGAGGCGCAGTCGCCCCATGCCCGGCCAGCTCTCACTTGCCCAGTGCGGTCTGCTGTCCGTGCACTCTGAAACTCTGTTGTGGAGCACATACGTGTTCAGTGCTCTTGTGTCCCCTTGATGTCTCGGCTCTGTCTGCTTTCCGTGGGTTTTCCATCCTTGGTGGCATTCTTTGCCTGCCCTCTCCCTGGGTTGCTTTCTGTCTCGGCAGCTTTAGCGTGTTGTATTATCTGCTTTTCCCTCACAGCCTTACGTCACTATTGCCATGTGTGTGAAAACCCTCCCAATCCGAGACTCGAGCCTCAGGAGCAGGCCTCGCACTCATGCCAGGGCAGGAGCCCGTTGGGCTCCTCGATGCTGTGTGGCTCCTCAGACTTCCATCAGGTAGTATTTTCCTCCTTCCTGCAGGGTACATGCTGAAAAATTATCTCAGCTTTTCTCTGCCTGAAAACCTTTTTATCTTGTGGTTCTTGGGAGACATTTTTACTAGATAAAGAATCCTGGATTGACAAGTTTTTCTTTAGTATTTTAATATGTTGCCCTACTGTCTTTCCAATGACAAAAACACATTGTTATTTTTATGAATTTAGCATGTCATTCTTTTCCTCTGGCTGCTTTTAAGATTTAAGTCCTTTTTATTTTCAGACAGTGTTGTCCTAAGTTTTCTAGGCTGGCGTTGAACTCGCGATCCTCTTGTCTCAGGCTTCCAAGCGTGCTGCTTGCTTCCCCTTGCTTAGTTTCAGTTTAAAAATCTTCTATATATCTACTTAACTTTTTGAATATATTGAAAAAGCTATAAATTAAATTTTTTTTTCTAACTTTTGTGTCATTCTGTGCCGTTTTTCTGTGGCACCTTATTTTTCTTTGTTTTGATCGAGTGGTCTTGTCTCTTTGAATACCTGATCTCTTGATTGGATGTTGGAAATTATATGTGAACAAATGTAGTGTTAATCGGAGGCTGGGTGATGTCATCCTTGCCCAGGCTCATTACAGGTTTGCTGCTGGTCGTTGCTCATGCCCAGGGTGTGCCGGCCACCCAGCCCACCGGAGTGGCTGAGATAGTTCATGGCTGGCTCCAGGTTTTGTGGAAGCTGTTCTGTTTGCAGCTGACATTCGGCCTTTGAGTCTTACACTTTTTAGGCTCCTCTTCTAACCTTAAGGATTATTAGCATGTTCTGCCCACTCATTTCAGCATTTCTAGCAAAGCTTTGTTAAAATTCATTCATGTTTTAGAAAAATGCAGAGTTCCCCATATGACAGCACTCGACTCTGTTTCAGAAGCTTTGTAGACATGACAGTGGTCGTTGTCCTTCTCTCCGGAGGATATTTCTGCTTATGTCTTGGAAACGATACATTTGGCTGTACC